TGAAGATGACTGCCAACTGATTCTCTTACCTCCACTTCCCAGCATTGAGGCAGCAGATGTGTGCTGCCTCACACACAGCTAAAAAACAAAGTATCTGGGGCGAGATGTGGCTCTGTGTTTAAATCCCTTCTCACTCTTGAGGAGGACCCGAGCTCAGTGCCCAGCACCCACAGCAAGCAGCTCACAATGGCTTGTAACTCCAGCTCCAGGGTGTCTGATTGATGCCCTACCATGGTCTCTGCAGGCACCAGCACTCATGTGTGCACACACTGGAGCACACATACACTCACATGCACACAGCGCACACCTGCATACTCATAACGTTAAAAAGGTCTCACTCTGACAAATGTGTTTGTACTTTGCTCAAATCCAGCCCTTCCCCTTCCCCTAGCTCTCTTCCCGCCTCTCCTGTCAGTTCCTGTGGTCCTATAAATAGCCTCCTTCTGCTTTGACGCCACACAGTCAGAAACACCTCTGGTTTCTGCACTTGGGAAGATGCACACTAGAGGGTCTAAAGAATTGGCCTTTCAGGGCCAGTGAGGTAACTCAGTGGGTGAAAGTCCTTGCCGTGCAAGCCTGGCAACCTGACTTTACTCCCCGGGATTCTCAAGGTGGAGGAGAAAACTGACTCCTGAAAGGTGCCCTTTGACCTCTGCACATGTGCTGTGGCATTACACATGTGTCTATGCCCACAGCTATACACGCACACACAGGAATAACATGCCTTCTGATGTGAGCATGCCCTACACACCGTCCTTCATTTACATACCTTCCTCTGCTAGCAGCCCTCACTTACTGTAACATATTACCTGTCCTCAATATACGAACCATCTATCTCCCATTTACCCCTGTTTCATGCTTCCCCCATTACTGGGGATCCAACCAAGGGTCTTATACATACACAGCAAGCACTCTGCTGCTGAGCTAGAACCCTCACTTTCAAATTCAAATATCATCCCTGGCCCCCAAACCAAAATCCAAAGGCCTTTATATAAAAAAGTCATGGCTGCTTTTGTTCATCACAGAGCTGGCCCTGCCGGGAGAGGCCATCAATCCTCACACAATGGAATATCCTGCCTAAAGTAGTGAAGACACGATACAACTCATGCGTCAGCTTTGTCAGAGACAGACAATCCCAAAGGCTGTTACGTCCCGGTGACAAAACCAGAAATGAGCAGACACCCTGCGACAGACTGTGTCTGAACCAGGACTTTGCAAGGGTAAAGGGAGAGCTGTTGGGTGCTACAGAAGATTTCCATGCATCATGTAGATCAGTGGCTCTCAGGCCCTGGTCAGGGAGATTGTGCCCCTAGCAACATTTGGTGAGAGTTCTGGTGGCTGCAGCGGGAGCAGGTGAGTCTCCCTGACCCGAGGTGTGTTGAGGCCAGGCACACTTTTCAGCATCCTGTAGCGTGCAGGAAGCCCCTTCACACAGAAGTAGGTAGTCAGGTAACCTACCAGGAACCCAGGAGCAGCACCTTCCTCTCCTCCAGCTCCTCCCTCCTGAGACATGGTGCTCTACTGCCACCTGGTGAGCACTGAGAGAACACCAAGTGCTCAGGAGCCAACAGGGATTAAGGGAATCTGACCCACCACAAGTCCTTGAATGTCACAGGAAACTTTTCGATGGCTTTAGCTGTGCTCACCACTTCACCAATCCGCAGGATGTGACAAGGCAGGCAGATATAAGAAAAAGTAACCTAAGAGGAGAGCTACAGCAAAATGCAAAGAATGTGGGCTGGAGAGAGTGCTCGCGGGTTAAGAACACAAACTGCCCTTACACAGGACCCCACATCCCAGCATCCACCCGGGTACCTCACAACCTCCTGGAACTCCAGCTCCAGGGGGTCAAACAGCTCTGGCCTCTGTGGGCATCTGCACTCGTGTACACAAATAAATTCTTTTAAGCAAGGCAAAGAATTGGCAACTCTCAGCCATGCCCCACCCAGGTACCCTGGACAAGGCAGTGTTTCTGTATTCACTAGGTGAGTATGTCCTGTCCTCCATGGCTCTCCCTCTGCAAATAAAGAAATGTGAAAAACAGGAAGGCTTTACTGGGCCTTACTCTAAGTGTGAGTATCAACCAGAGAGAAACTTTCACATTTCAGAGTTCCTTGTCTTGGCTGTCTGGGGGCGGGGCACTACAGGGCTCTCTTCCTGGACCCTGATCGATCTCCACAGACAGGTGGGGGAGTAGCTTGAGTGCTGGATCCCCTGGTCTTTGGCGAGGCTTCTTTTATCTTATACAGTGGCTCTGTTGACCTTTCATTGTGTTTTGATACAAGGTCTTAATCTTTTTAAAAAATTAAGTTTAAACATCTTAATTTAAAATATTTTAATTATACTATGGGAATTTTGCCTCCATGTATGTCTGTGTACCATGTGCAGGCCAGAAAAGGCCAGAGGATCTCCTGGAATAGAGTTCTGAGTCACTCTCTGGGTGCTGGGATCGGACTCGGGTCCCAAATGTGGTCAATGCTAACGGCATCAGCACAGAATAACTGCTTGCTTATTTCCAAAACTTGGAAAAAAATATTTGTGGTGGTAGTGGCACACACCTTTAATCTCAGCACTCAGGAGGCAGAGGCAGGTGGATGTCTGTGAGTTCAAGGCCATCCTGGTCTAAGGAAGAGTTCCAGGACAGCCAGGGCTACACAAAAGAAGCCCTGTCTCAACCCCTCCACATCATGAGCGTGAATAAATGTGCTCACATCACATTGCATATGTGAGGGTCAGAGGATAAGTTGGGGACTCAGTTCTCACTGTCTCTCATGTCAGCCATAGGGATCTAAGGTTGTCAGTCTTAGTGACAAATGACTGTCCCCACTGGGCCATCTTGCTCTCACCTTTCAAAAATAGCTTTTTATTCTCATTAGAAGGGTTGGTAGGGGAGTTAGCACAGTCTTCTGACTTGTAGGCATTTCCCCTTTTCAAGACAGAGCCTGGTGATGTAGTTCTGCTGTCTGCAAACTCACTATGTAGACCGGGCTGGCCTCAAACATGACTCCTCCCCCCAGATACTAGGGTCAAAGGCTTCTATATCTGGAAGCTTTTTTATATACAAGGAACAAGCCTACAACATTCTCAGGCTCCAGTAATGCTGCGTGAATAGTGGAGCTACAAGCAAAGCGATTTGAGGCATGTAGAAGGGGGCCAATGCTTCCTGAACACTCCAGACAAGTCAATGGTGCCCAGAAGTAGATGTACTGGGTTTGAGTGATGGCTCTCCCACCCATGCCTCAAGTTTCTTATCTGTGATATGGGGAGATGTACTTATGTTTAAGGTGCTGGAAAGGTCTGTAGAATATGAAGTGCAGGGAAATGGTCTAGGGCCATCAGTTCCCAACCTGTGGGTCACATATCAGATATTTCCAATTTCTAACATTAGCAAAACTTGCAGTTAAGTAGAAGCAACAAAGTTGTCTTATGGTTATGGAACTGTATTAGAGGGTCACAGCATCAGGAAGGTTGGGCATCACTGGCTTAGGGTGATGAAGAGTTCAATTTCCATGTGTGGTGTGCAGTGTCCTTGGGTATACTCCAAGGATACTGGAAATGGGGGCTCGCACTAAATTTGAGGGAGAGGTCACTTCCATAAGAACCAGGGTCAGCACACTCTGATCTCTAACCACGATAGTGTTCCAAGAGAGTGAGTTCCCCATCTTCTTCCCCTTTATCCCTTGGCTTCTCCCACATATCTGTGACCACACCCACTTGAGCATGGTCAATGCTACAGGTACATGAGATCTCCCCTACAGTTCTAACCAATGGATACAGGACAACTTGCAGGTGAATATGCCTCTGCATGCCAGCCAATGGATGATCTTTGCTTTGGAAAATCAGCCATTAGGAAATGGATTCACTGACGAACACAATCTAGTGCTGACCAGCTTCATTTGAGTGTGTCAGGGTGACACCCAGCCCTGATTTCTGTGGCAGAGCATCTCTAGGACACTAAGCATCAATCTCATGCTATGTCACTGGCATAGACACTGAGTGACAGTGTCACTAACCTTGGAGAGATGTGTGCTTCAACCGGCACCTTTGTTGTCTGAAAACAGAGGCCGAGTTTGAATGTGTGTGTAGGGCCCAGGGGACCTCAGTTGTCATTCCTCAGGTGCTGCCCACCTTTCTATTTTATGAGACAGGGTGTCTCGTTGTCCTGGAATTCTCCAAGTGGGCTAGGATGGCAGCCAGTGTGCCCAAGGGATCCTCTATCTCCTCCACACGATGATGGTATTATCAAGTTGACAGAACCTAAATTCACCTGGGGTCCTGCATTTGGGGGACTATGTTGATGATTCTCAGGTAGTGTGCTTTACACAAGCTAGGTCACCTGGAGGAGGGCAAACTCAGCTGGGAAAGTGCCCCCATCAGATTGGCCTGTGGGACATTTTCTGGATTGGTGGTAAATCCAGAAGGGGTCAAGCTACTCTGGGCAATGCCACCCATAGGTACAATGTCCTGGTTGTGTAACAAAACCAACAACAACAACAAAAAATCCTCTGTGGCCTCTGCTCCAGTTCCTGCTCTGACATTCCACAGTCATGGAATGATATATCGGTACATTAATGATGTAAACCCTTCCCTGTGCAAGTTGGTTCTGGTGTTTATTACAGCAACAGAAAGCTAACTAGGACTCAGGGGGCACCATGCCCTGATGGGACAAAGGGAAAAGGGATCTGCACAGCAGTACACATTCATCCCTCACTTTTGAGTGTGGGGGTCATGTGACATCTTCCCTGCAATGACGGATACTTCCTCTTGAACCATTAACCGAAACTCAACCCTTTCTCCCTCCAGTTGGCTTTGTCAGAATCTTTTCATCTCTCAGTACCAGGATTACAAGCACGTGCCAGCGCACATGGGTTTTTAGCATCAGTTCTGTGTGTCCAGTTCAGGTCCTCACGCTGGCACGACAAGCCCTTTGCCAACTGAGCCACCTCCCCATCCCACCTCTGCCTTTTGTCACGTCCCAACTCATCAACATGACCACCTGATGCTTTTCCACGTGCTGAGTATTTATTTCATTCCCGATACAACCTTGGAGGTGGGACAAATGTTTTCACAGGTACAGAGGTGCCAGGACCCGACGGGGAGGGAGGGGGACTCACATCTTCAGTTTCTCCACCAGTTACGGTCATCTTCGTTGAAGGAATACCAGTCGTCATCAATCAGCATGTGGGACTTGGTGAGTTGTACTTTCTCCAGCTGCCTTCTCACCTCGGCATAGTACTGCTGCTTCCACAGGCTGGGAAGAAAGGGAAGTTGTGCTGGGACCTGCTTCTGATTGTTCCCCCCTCTTCAGACGGCCTGGAAGCCAAACCGTGGACTACCAATATTCCTGAGGAGTCTCAATGAGATAGTGCATCTGCCATAGGTGAAAAGGGCTGGGGGGAGGGGCTCCCAAGGCCCCACCCTCAATGGAAGAGGGAAAATCACTGGTGGTTCCTCAACCCTCCCCCCAGGATGACTCCACAGCAGATGGAGGAAGTTGGTTATTATTATCATTCATCATCATCATCATCATCATCATCATCATTTTGCTTTTTTGAGACGGTTTCTCTGTGTAATCTTGGCTGGCTTGGAATTCATTCTAGACCAGGCTGGCCTTGAATCCACACATGTAAAAGTCTTAAATGCAAAAGAAATCTACCCTGTGCTGGGTCTTGTCCCAGGTTTTAGGCACAGTGATGGACTTGGTCAAGGAAAAAGCCCCACTGATCCCAACTGAGGAGAGGGCTATTTAACACATTTAAATATCTGCAGAGAAATCTCACTTAGCCCATGAAAGATCACCTGGTAGAAATCCAAGTCTGACTAGGTGGGCATGGTAGTGGTGTATGCCTGTGGATACTTTTGCATTTATATCCATTGTGTGTGTGTGTGTGTCTGTGTCTGTGTCTGCCTTCATTAGTGCATGTGTGTGTTGTGTATGTACTGTGTGCATTTCTGTGTATTGTGTTGTATGTGTGTGTAGGTGTGTGAATATACTGTATTTTGTGTGCATGTGTGTGTGTATGTTTGTACTATGTTTGTTGTGTGCGCATATGTATTATGTTTGTTGTGTGCATGTGTATTGTGTATTGCATGTGTTTTGTGTGTGCATGCATATTGTGTGTCATGTGTGTATGAGTATTGTTCTTTGTGTGTATATGTGTGCGCACTGTGTGTTGTGGTTGTGTTTATGTGTTTTGTGTGCACACACACTCAAGCATGCAGGTGGAGGACAGAGGTCAGCATCATTGTCCTTAGACTTTCTTCATCACTCTTCACTCAGACAATGTCCCGAAACCCAGAGCCTGCTGACTGGCTGGGCAATGAACTCCAGGGTCGTCAGGGCTCTGTCTCCCTAGCGCTAGGACTGCAGGTGTGTGCACCACCACATCTGCCTTTCACATGGGTTCTAGGGAACAGAACTCTCAAGCCTTCAAGCCTTGTGTGGGAAGCACTTTATAGACAGCCATGTCCCCAGACTGCACCAACTGCTAATGTCATGTTTATCACTGGGCCTTGTCAAAGACTGCTGTGCCTTGTGGCTCATTGATGTAATTGGCTTTTTAATTTTCCAAGACAGGGTTTCTTTGTGTAACTCTGGCCATCCTGGAACTTGCTCCATATACCAGGCTGGCCTTGAACTCAGAGATTGCCGTTCTCTGCCTCCTGGGTGCTGGGATTAAGGTGTGTGCCAGAACTACCTGACTCCAGTTGACTCTTTTACCAACATTCGGCCCTTCGGGCTTGTCTGGGCATGTATCTTGTGACAAGTTTATATAAAGATTGCCAACCTCACTCAGCCAGAGTTCCCAGTCCACCATCCCCTGTAACCTGCCTTCACACACTCCATCCCTACTCCTGGGCCTTTTGCATTTATATCCATGAGCTAAGGCTTGTACACTATGGATAAATCTCCTGGCTACTGTCTGGAGAAGTCACTCAATTGAATCATTTCACCATCAGCCTCCTCTGGGTGGTCAGCCCTGTCCTCTTCAGTCGAATTTTTGTTTTTGTGTTTGGAGGCAGGTTCTTACCCAGAATGTATGAGGTAGGTTAGCCTGGTCTCAAATTTACAGCAATCCTCTTTACTTCACAGAGCTAGGACTACAAGCGTATGCCACCTTGCTCAGAAATACAGCAGCATTATACTTTCATGGATAACAAGTACATTAGAGTGTGAGATGGCTCAGTGGATAAAGGACACTGGGCTGCAAGCCTGACAACCTGAATCTTATCCCCACGCCCTACATGATGGAAAGAGAAAACTGGCCTTTTGCAAGTTATCAGACCTCCATATGAGCACTCCACACACACACAGAAATAAACACTACTTAAAACAAAAGGATATGCAAAAATGGATCTTTAGAGATAGCTCAGTGGTTAAGAGCACTGGCTGCTCTTCCAGAGGTTCCGAGTTCAATTCCCAGCAGCCACATGGTGGTTCACAACCATCTGTAATGAGATCTGGTGCCCTCTGCTGGTGTGCAATGCAAGTGCAGGCATACATGCAGGCAGAATACTGTATACATAATTAAAAATTAAACACTGAGTACAGGCTCAACATTTCATCAACTAAAAAAACAGACATGTGCATGTTCACACAGTGCTCTCAGAGGCCAGAAGAGCATTGGACCATCAAAACTTGAGTTATAGGCTGTGGGGGCTAAAAAAATGGTCATGTGTCTGCATGCATATATGTACACTACGTCCATACAATGCCCACAGAAGTCAGAACAGAGCACTGGATCATCAAAACTTGAGTTATAAGCTCTCTGGGCTGAAAATATGGACACACACGTTTCTGCATGCAAATATGTATACTATGTACATGCAGTGCCCACAGAGGTCAGAAGAGAGCACTGGGACATCAAAACTTGATTTATAGACGGTTGTGGGCTGTCATGTGGGTTCTAGAACAGAGCTCAGTTCCTCTGCAAGATCAGCCAGTGCTTTCAAGTATCAAGTCATCTTTCCAGCCCCATTTTTACCCACTACATTTAATCATAGTTGCTTGCACAAGTCAGGGTGTTATTTATCAGAACACAGCAACACAGCAGTGGCTTCAATTCAATCTTCAACATATATGGCCGACTTGTCTCTTTTTGATTGAGTCTCTCTCTGTGGTCTATGCCATCCTGGAACTCATTACATAGTCAAAGATGGCCCCATATGTGTGGTAATCCCCTGTCTCAGCATCACAGGGGCTAGGATTACAGGTATGAGTCGTGACACTTGGCACAATTAACCAACTTGCATTGCATAAGTGGCATTAGACAAATACACACCATGGTGCAGACACTTACACCATGCATCTTCAGAAATTTCCCATCATCCCAACCTGGAAATTTTGTAGACATTATACGTGAACTCTAAATTTTCATCTCCCCTTTAATTTTGGCACTGCTAGGTATGGAACCCAGGGCTTTACATACATTGAGAAAGATCTCTACCACTGAGTTACACCCCTCAGCCCTCTTGGTCTCTTCCTTTAGCAACCTTTGGTCTTTCTGTCTTGAGTCTAAAAATCTAGGAACTTCACACAATATTTGTCTTTTGTGGCTGACTGATTTCTGTTAACAAAGTTGTTGTGTCTTATCCAGACATGAGCATTCATCAAACTCCCTGTCTTGAAAAATGACACTATAAACATGTGTACAAATTGTCTCTGACTTTTTTTGAGACAGGGTCTCACTGTGTAACCTTGGCTGTACTGGAACTCTCGTCAGTAGTTCTCACCTCTCGCGTCCCAACCCCTTTAGGAGCCCATATCAGATACACTGCTGAATGTCTGATGTTTACATTATGATTCACAACAATAGCAAAATTACTATTATGAAAAGGCAGTGAAATAATTTTATGATTGGGGGTCACCCCAGCAGGAGGAACTGTGTTAAAGGGCTGCAGCATGAGGAAGGTTGAGAACTCTTTAGGTAAAAAGAATTGCCAAGTCAAGGATCTCAACTACTTTTTAGTTGTTGCTGCTCTTTCAAGAAACTTTTCAGAGAGTCACGTGCATGTCTCAGGAGATGATCGGTAGGGACTTACCCAATTTTCCACAGATTAGAGGAAGGATGCAGGAATGCAGAACACAGCTTCAACATGCCCGATGTACAGAAGTCATTCCTTAACAGGTTTAGACTGACAAGGCACGAATTGCAAGAGAGGGCCAATGACAGCTCCTCACAGCAGTCAGAAGTCAACCCGCATGCCTCCAACCTACCCAGAAGTCCAAGGAAAAATTCGTCAGTGATGGACTCTCCATTCAGCCCATAAGAGTCCCAATCCTGCTGGACACTGGTAACAAATACCTTTAGTCCCAGCACTGGGGAGTCAGAGGTAGGCAGACCTGAGTCTGAGGCCAGCCTGGTCTACAAAGCTAGGGACAGCCAGGGCCACACAGAGAAACCCTGTCTAGAAAACCCTCCCCCCCTAAAAATGTGGTATTGGACCAGAAGCTCAAACAATTGGGAGCTGCATGCAGAGCACAGGATGTCCAGACATGCACAGGATATCCAAGAAGCTGCATGTCCAGGTGGTCAGAGCTTGGCAGGGACTATGACATATGAGATGAAGCTGAAGGCTTTATACAGTAAAGGTTTAGAATGCTAGAAAAATGGTTAAGACCGGAGGCTTGCATTTTAAATGAATTAAGTCAGCCTTTGTTTTTTTATTTTTGTTTTACAAGATAGGGTTTCCCTGTAGCTCTGGAGTCTGTCCTGGAACTCACTCTGTAGACCAACCAGGCCAGCCTCGAACCGAGATCCGCCTGCCTCTGCCTCCCAAGTGCTGGGATCAAAGGTGTGCACCACCAATGCCCAGCTTACGTTAGACTTGGAAAGACAAATATTGTGAGTTTTCTCTTGGTTCTTGGAGCCCAGATTGAAAGTAGATACATAAAGTCATATATGCCATTATTGTAGATGTGAAGTTGTCTAGGGGAATGAAGACAACTAATGGGATGGGAGGGGGAGGGGCTTGAGAGGGGGAAGATTCATAGGTACACCTGCGGGCACTTGGTCAAAGTTCACTGTATACGTGTATGAAAATGTCCTTGTGAAACCCAGTACTATCTAGGAGGAATATATGTCAATAAATCTTAGGGCTTATCCCGAGAAGAGCAGCACTCCAGAGATGATCACTGACAGGGGGCGCTGGAGAGAAGACTCAGTGGTTAAAAGCACCTGCTGCTCTTGCAGAGGACTCGGGCTTGTTTCCCAGCACCCCATCAGGTCTCACAACGGCCTTTAACTCTGGCTCCAGGAGATCTGATGCCTTCCTTCTGGCCTTGGTGGGCATAAGCGGGCATGTGATGCAGAAGATGACAAGCAGGCACACAAATGTGTGAGCGCATGGTAAAATTAAAAAAAAAACTAGGCATTCACGGAGCTGCACACTGCTGTCATCCTCACACTCAAAGGCTGAGACAGGAAGTGCCTGAGATCCAGGCCACTTAGGCTGCACAGAAAGAGTCCACCCTCTAAGGAAAGAAAGGGAAGTGAGGATGGTGTATCAGAGCGCTCCCATATTTAAAAATTTACACCAATTTGTTCTGTGCATGCATGCCTGTGCATGGTACACATGTGGAGATCAGAGAACCATTGACTACAGTTGGCTTTCTCCTCCTACCTTTTGGAGCCCAGAGATGAACTCGAGTTGTTGGGTGACTTTACCTGCTGGCTCATCTCACTGGCCCATATCCTAGTAGTAAATTTTATTTTACTTTCATTTTTATTTTTGTGTCTCATGTGTGTCTATGGGCGTGTGTCTTGTGTGTGTTAGGATCTCAAAAACCCTCACAATGCATCCCAGTCTGGCCTCAAACTCAAGGTGATCCCCTCCTTCATCCTATTGTGTGATTGAATGCCAGGCAGAAGCCTCCGTATCTGGGTAGCACTCTGCTCTAACAGTTTTCCCAGGTGGATGAGATGCTACGTCTTAAGGACCACTGGTAACTGACTGCTTTGGGTTCATTTTTCCTGCAAGAGCCTATGTGCTGCACCACTGAGGTCTTAGCTGTCTCTATTGCTATTACCCAGTACCCAGCATCATGTCTATCAGTCAGAGGAAGCTCAATGAGTATCTGAAGGCTGATACATCCTGACACTCAGATCCATGACTCCCCCAAGGTCGTTCATGGTGGTTCATGTCATACCACCACCCTGGTGTCATGCTCACATCCCCCCCACCTCCTCTGAGCTTGACCCCTCAAAGTGGTGACCCCCAAAATTACCCAAGTCTCTCCAGGGACGTTCCACTTTCCTTCAGTCCCTTGCACAGAGCTATGACTCCTCTGTCACCCAGGTCATTGCTACCTAGATCCAAGCTCTTCAAGTGTTGTTTTGTTGCGATCACTGAGGCCAGATCTGCACAGCAGTCCTCCGTGAGCTGGCAGTCCACCAGGCTGCAAGAGACAAGGGTCATCCATGTCTTCATTGGGGAAGGGCTTCAGTGGGAGTAACATCCAGAACCATTCAGAACAGCTGTTTTTATTGTCTTCTAAGAGACTGCCTTGGGGTCAGCAAGATGGAGCAGTAGCTAGAGGTACTTGCCACCACGAGGGGTGATCCTGGAACCACAAGGTTGAAGGTGAGAGCTGACCCCTGCAAGTTGTCTTCTGATCTCCATGTGGGCATTGTTGCCCAAAAAGGCCCTCACTCCAATTATGAAAATAAGCCTATGTAATTTAAAGAGAGATGGTCTTTGTTCTGTGTGTATTGTATGCATATATGCACATGTGCAGGTGGGTATGGGTGTATTCACACCCATGCATGCCAGTGTGGAATCCAGAGACCTACATCAGGAATACTCATGTTTCTTTTATCTCTGTGTAACATTCCTGGCTGTCCTGGCACTTGCTTTCTGTAGATCAGGCTGGCTTTGAACTCACATATCTGCCAGCCTCTGCCTCCCAAGTGCTGGGACTAAAGGCATGCGCCACCGCTGTCCAGCTACTCCTCTTTCTCTATGCCTTAATCTTGTCACTTGCTGGCCAGTGAACCCCTGGGATCTGCTTGGCTGCCTCCTCCCTTGGTGTTGGGGTCACAGGTAGGTTTAGTGGGCTTCTACATGGATTCTGCCAATCTGATTGCAGGCCTTCATGTGTGCTCAGCAGGCCCTTAATCCGCTAAGCCATCTCTCCATCCCCAAGAGATGGCCATGCTATATCTTCTCATGAATGGTGTAGAGCAGGGGGGCACATTAGCCTGGGAGACAGACAACAGTGAAGGGAAACTGCAGTGGGTATGGATGAAGGGAGGTATCATTGGAATAATAACTGTATAACAGGTGGGGGGGATGGCTCAGCGGTAAATCACCTGACTAAATTCTCCAGTGAGGGGCTGCGGTGTGGCTCAGTGTTAGAGCCATACCTATGGCTCTGTGGTAGAGCCCCTGTCTAGAATTCCCCAGTGAGGCTGGTGGAGTGACTCAGTGGTCCCATTCCTGGAGCACCACAAACAACAGAAACAAAGCTAGCAAAACAACAAACAAAAACCCCCTAACCACCCAACCAGCCTCCATATCAAATAATCTCTGCAGCCATGATCAGACTTTAAGGGGTCAAGGGTAACCCTGATGGCACAAACCTGCCTCGAGGCTCCTGTTCACAGTCATCCCTTCCTTCCTCCAAGTCTGTCCACTCCACACACCACTTAACCGGCTGGTGTGATTCCCAGAAGGCTGAGCACTTAGCCCCAGAATTAGATTAGATTTATCATGTCTGCCTGTCTGTCTCTTTCATTCTAGAAACCAGGGTGGCAGAGATGACCCACAGCCACCACTGTCTACTCACTCCAGCTCTTGGAGGTGACAAGTGGGCTCCTTTATACCATCACACAGAAGCTTCATCCCGCTGTCCTCCACAGGGTTCATGGTCAGGCCCAGGTGTGTCAGCTTTCCATTGTGGGAAAGCATCAATGCCAGGAAGCCATAGGTGTCTCTTGTGAGGTTGCACTGGTTCAGTCTACAGGGACACAGATGGGAAGAGGACAGGATGGGCACAGCACATACACACTACTCATGGCCTTGGATGAGAGATTCCTCTCTGCCTCAGTTTACTCTTCTGTAGGATGGGGTTCATATTTACACTGACCATTGTTCTCAGCCTTAAGCGGTGGGTGGCTAAAAAATTTGGTAGTAGGGGGCAGGGGAGATGGCTCAGAGGTTAAGAGCACAGACTGTTGCTCCAGAGGACCCAGGTTCAATTCCCAACACCCACATAGAAGCTCACAACTGTCTGTAACTCCAGTTCCAGTGGATATACCAACTTCCTACAGATATAGATGCAGGCAAAACACTAATGCACACAAATGAAAAGAAATTAAAAAGGACATGGCAGAAATGGCAATTATTAGGATCACTATCAGCACTGGGACTTACTGCAAGAGAACTCTGACCAGGCTGGCAGGATGGCTTAGCAGGTAAAAGGGCTAGTGGGTCAAGCCGGAGAACTACAACCTGAGTTCATTCTCCGGTAACCCTATGGTAGGAGGAGATAACCAACTCCTATCTTCCCTTCCACCCATATGCATGCTGTGGCAGGGGTGTGTGTCTGTGTCTGTGTGTGTACATGAAGTATACATGCACAGATTCTACAGCCCTATTTCTCTGCTATTTTTACTAGAATTAATTTAAATTACATTTTGTGTGTTGAGAGAGACAGACAGACAGAAACATACAGAGACAGAGACAGAGAGAGAGACAGACAGAGAGAGACAGACAGAAACATAAAGAGACAGACAGAGACAGAGAGAGAGACATAGAGAGAGAGACAGAGAGACAGAGACAGAGAGAGACAGAGAGAGGAGAATGTAGAGATCAGAGGAAAATTGGTGGAAGTTGGTTCTCTTTGTACCATACCAGTCACAGGGATCAAACTCGCATTATTAGACTTGGCAGCAACTACCTTCACCTAGCGACATATCTTGCTGGCACTATTTTATATTTTTTGAGAAAGGGTTTCAATAGGCCAGGCTGGCTGGGAATGTACCTTGTAGATTAGGATAACCTAGAATATTCCTGCCTCCACATCCTGAATGTTGTGGTTATAAGTGAAATACCACCCCACCAGGCTAAGGTTATCTTAACATATTTCCTGGTTTGTGACAGATACATGTATGTGTTTTCAAATCACATTTATCGTGTGTGTCAGCAAATCTTGTGTGTGTGTGTGTGTGTGTTTGTGTTTGTGTGAACATCAGAGGACAACTTGTGGTATCTGGCTTTCTCTCTCTACTCTGTGGGTCCTGGGGATTGAACTCAAGTCATTAGGCTTGGCGGCAAGCTCCTTTACCCAATGTCCCACACCATACATTTACTCACAAGAAGTTATTGGTGGAGTAATTGTTCAAAGGGAATAAACAGCAAGAAACTCCCCCCAATAATCAGAGGAGGCAAACTGGGTTGATCTGAGTAACAATCATTCTTTATCAGGCCCCAGGTTAATGGTTGGAGATAACTGCAGTTTTAAAAACATTACATGGAAGTAAATACTACCACACAGCAGCCAAGGAGAATGCTGTTGTCACTCTAGCTCCCTTGTGCGGCCTTCCTAGGAGTCTCCAATACTATGCATCTGTGACTTTAGCCCCGAGTCATCTACCTGAAACAGTCTTTCCATGGGTGTGTGTCCATGCTCAGGTGTGTATGTATGTGGAGGCCACTCAAGGCTATCCACTTTCATTTCCAAAGATTTTTGGTTTATGTGTCTAAGCGTTTAGATGCAATATGTGTGTTCACTGCATGTGTGCAGTGCCCATGGAGGCCACAAGAGGGCATGGGATCCCTGGAAATGGAGTTAGGGATAGTTGTAAGCCTCCACGTGGGTGCTGGGAACTCAACCTGGGTCTTGTACAAAATCAGCAAGCGCTCTTAACTGCTGAGCCCTCTCTCAGCCCTACCCTACCTTGTGTTTTAAGACAAGGCCTCTAATCGGCTGCAGATGCCATGAGGCTGGCTGCCTAGACTGTGCCTGTCTCCGGCTCCCCGGAACTGGGATTATGGTGGTGTGCCACCCATATCTTTTAATTGTTGTGTGAGTACAGGGGATCCAAACTGAAGTCCTCAAGCTTCTGTGGCAGGCACATCACTTGTGAGCTGTCTGCCTAGCTTTCTTGGAGATCTCAATAAGTTCTCACACAGAATCTGAGCTCTGAGAAAACAAGCCCCATATGCTCTTCAACTCTATTACCAGTAACCATGACCATCTGTGGTCTGACTAGACAGCTTAGAGGGGGAAGGTGCCTCCCGCAAGCATGATGAGTTTGATGCCCGCCCCCCCAATTGTGTGCTGTGGCATACGTGCTTGTGCCGCCCATACACAATACATGTAAAACTAAAAACCTATGACTCTTTGTTTTATACAGATAATCCTTAAGCATCATCTGTAGATTTCACACTTGTAAATTTTCCCATTTGGGGGGCTGGAGAGATGGCTCAGAGCTTAAGAGCACTGACTGCTGTTCCAGAGGTACTGAGTTCAATTCCCAGCAACTACAAACTAGCTCACAACCATATGTAATAAGACTTGGTGCCCTCTTCTGTCCTGCAGACATACATGTGGGCAGAACACTGTATACATAATAAATAAGTAAATGTTTTTCCCATTTGGTGAAACTTATTAACAACCCGCGAAATATCAACTCGGAAGGCACTCATGGATCCCTCTGACACTGAACAAAATTGTCTTTTTGGTGTGTATTTAGAGTCATGTTTGTCGATTTCTTTGTGCTTTCTGGTGGTGATTTAGTTGTTAAAAATGGCCCAGGCTGGGCTATGGGCTACTTCTGAGTTAGTAGAGAGCTTGTCTTGCATCCATGAAGACTCCAGTTTGATATAGCCTTTAATTAAATCATACAGGAGGGGCTGGAGAGATGGTATGAAGTGGAAATTGTTTGTCCCACAATCACAGGGACTTGAGTTCGGATCACAGCCATACATATAAAAGCAGGGGGTAGGGCTTAGTGACTCCTGTAATCTTAGGGGATGTGAGGCCTAGACAGCAGATTCACTCAGCTAGCCAGCTAGTTAGTCTGGCTGAATTAGCAAGCTGGGTTCAAGCGAGACTCTGCCTTTGTAGAATAGATGGAGATTGACACCAAAGCAATCCTTGACCTCTGTCTTCAAGTGTACACACATCTGTGCACATGCACCTAACTGTCCGTACAAACACACACACACACACACACACACCCTAAAACCAAAGGATGCATTTAGAAATAGTCTTGAGGGCTGACGAGATGGCTTAGCGATGAAGGCATTTGCAGCCAAGCCTAAGGATTTGAATTTGATCCTTGGGACCCACACGGTGGAAGGAGAGAACCAATGTTGCAGGCACGTCCTCTGAGCTTCCTGTGTGGGTTGAGGCACTCTCACTCCTATCCCCATAAATATATAATAATATAATATAAGCCTAGAGTCATCTTAAAATGTATATACAAGTAACAATAATGAAATGTTTTTTATACCCAAGGGAGTCCTAGAACCAGAGTCCTAACCATACTGGGTGTGGTGTGTTGAATACAACGTGTCCTCCTAAGGCTCCTGTTTTAACACTCGGTCCCCAGGCAGGGGTCCTCCTTAGGGACATTGTGGAATCATTAGGAGGTAGACATTTGCTGGAGGAAGCATGTCACTGGAGGTGGACTGTTCACCTCATCTCACATCCTGTTCTTTCTGCTTCCCATGCATGTTAAAAAATGTGCTCAGTCGCTTTCTGCTCCAGCCATTTTGTTTGTCCTGACTGTTGCCAAGCCTCCCCCACCATGCTGGACTCTACCCCTCTGGAACCATGAGATAAAATAAACAGCTTTCTTCTTGTAAGTTGCTTTTTGTTGGGGAATGATAATACAGCAAGAGGACAGGAACAAATACACTACAGGATGCTGCTCCTACCATGTACTATCAGTCCGCTCACCAACCCATCATCCCCGATAACCCCATGAGTGTAACGGTTGTGATGTCCTGCCAGAGACATGAACCAGACTCACATCAGTTGCTGCACAGCGCATTCCTGGAGTCTCATGAACTGACACAGACGTCTCACTTCTTCAGTCCTCAGGCTGTTGTTTGACAGGCACAGGTGCGTCAAGGTCCGGTTACTGAAAAGGGCTGAGGCCAGAATGTGGCAGCTGACAGGTGTGAGGTCACAGCTGTCCAGTCTGCAAGGAGAGAGTCCCCAACAAAGGGAATAGTGAGGTCCGTTCTTATGTCTTCCTCCCCAACTGGCACATAAGACGGTTACCACAGCACTACTCACAACGGCTAAACTACCAAACTCATAGAGATCCACTTGCCTCTGCCTCTGCCTCTCAGGTGCTGGGTGTAAAGGCGTGCAACACCACTGCCTGGCCAGCCTCACACTTTTAAAAAGTACATTTTACTTTTTTATTATGTGCATGTATGGGGGCACAGGGTGTTAGCCAGAGGGCAACTGAAAGGAGTTGGTTTTGTGTTTTACTCCTTGGCTTCAAGGACCTAGGCTAAGATCACCATAACTTGGCAATCTAACCAGCCAGCCCAAGATTTATGTAGACACGGACAACTGTGTATGTAAGGATGACATGAAAATAGAAATGGAGGTGTCCAGGAGAGTAAAGGGGAACAGTGCTTCGGGATGTGGGTGAGAAAAAATATGTGTCTATGAGTACAAATATGTTGAGCAGACAGTAGATACATGTATGGGGTCTGGGGGATGACCCAAAGGTTAAGAGAGCTTGCTGCTCTTCCAGAAAACCCTAGTACAGGCCCTGGAACCTATGCTGGATAGCCCCCAAACACCTTTAACTCCAGCTCCTGGGGATATGCTCTCCTCTGTCCCACTGTGCAGATACCTACAGAATCAAACAAATTTTAGCATATACATAAAAAATTTCCCTCTCCTCTCATTCCTTAGAAGGTTCTGTCTGTTTGTGAGGACATTTGTGTGCCTTGTCTTGCATGTGGGAATCAACTGCACAACTTGGCAGTGGTCCATTCTCTTTTTCGCTTTAAGTATCAGGGGTGAGGGTGAATTCAGATCATTAGGTGTGGCAGTAAGCATTGTTTACCTGCTGAGCCATCTCTCACTGCCCTAGGTTTGGACTTTGTTAATTCCCCTCTTACTGAACAAATCTGGGGGGGGGTTGATGTCCTGTGTGTGACAATAGGTTGGCAATGTAATCTATGTGAATTCATATTTTGACATAATTGATAAATGTGACAATGTAATCTATTTACTTCATACTTAGCTATGAAAAGGAAAGCTGCCAGACTTGAAAGTAAAAGCTTTGTAGTCCCCCAAACAAACTGAATCAACATAGAGTTCTTAGGATGTCATGTATCAGATATTCAGAATCACTAATGGGTTGAACAGAGTCTCTGCTGGTGAAGAAATAAACACCAAGTGCATTGTACCAATGCAACTATGTTAAAGTCAGTTGAAATTTTTTTGGTTAGAGCCTTTAAGTTTATGTGTCTATGTATGTGGGTGCAGTGCCTGCAGAAGCCAAAAGAGGGCGATGGAGATGCTGGAGTTACCAGGGATAGTGAGCACTGTTATATGGGTGCTGGGAACCAAATCCAGGACCTCTATGAGAGCAGCAAGTGCTCTTAACTTGGGGGCCATCTTTCTAGCCTTGCCTCTGGCCTTTAGAGGGTGTTTTACTGTTTGGCTCTCAGAGTTGACAGTGACTTTATTAGAGCTGTGACAGCTGCCAGAACCCAGGTATAAGCAGCAACCACAGGTGTGATGTCCTGTTTTGCCAGTTGATGATAGTTCTCCCATGAATGAGGAACTTAGCCTAACATGCTTCAAAGGCCATTCCATAGACATGCCTGGAGAAGGAAGTAAAAAGCACCAACAAGAATTGTGTCAATCTCATCATGATTTCAATAATGGTTTCTACAGTTACTACCTCCTCACTCTCCTCTCTAATCACAGGACAATTTGACCAGTTAACAGCTGACCTTCTTTGGATCATTGACATAAGAGAACCACCCGGCCCCAGGTTTCCAATACAAGTCTGTCTACAAACAACACTCTTAAACTGGTCCCTCTGTGGACACCTTTGTTTCTACAGGAGGTCAGACTTATCTGATTGGCATTGGGATGACATTCTGCTAGGACCCTCCTCTTTTTGGCATGTGTACGTGTGTGTGTGTGTGTGTGTGTGTGTGTGTGTGTGTGCGCGCACGTGTGTGCAGCTGCAACTGTCTGTGCATGTATGCTTATGGAGGCACAGGGGTGACACTGGGCACCTTGCTTCATCCTTCTCCATCTTATATATGGAGGCAGGGTCTCTCACTGAACCAAGAGCTTACCAATCTGCCTAGTCTGGAAAGCCAGCTTTCTCTGGATTCCTGCCTCTGCTGCCTTAGTGCCATGTAACCCACCAAGCCTATCAGGATACTCATGGGCTCTTGGGATCTGAACTCTGGTTCTCATGCATGCTCTACATGCTTTTTACCACAGGTCCACACGCCAACACATCTTCCTATTTCCTTGGTCTCTCTCATTTGCTCACTATCTCCGTTTCTGAGTGTAAGTGTGTGAGTGAGTGAGTGAGAGAGAGTATGTGTGAGTGTGTGAGTGAGAGAGAGAGTGAGTGAGTGAGTGAATGTGTGAGTTTGTGAGAGAGAGAGTGAGAGAGAGAGTGAGAGAGAGAGAGTGAGAGAGAGAGTGAGAGAGAGCGAGAGAGAGAGTGAGAAAGAGCGAGAGAGAGAGCGACAGAGAGAGCGAGAGAGAGCGAGAGAGAGCGAGCGAGAGAGAGCGCGAGAGAGAGAGCGCGCGAGAGAGCGCGAGAGAGAGCGCGAGAGAGAGCGCGAGAGAGAGAGAGCGCGAGAGAGAGCGCGAGAGAGAGCGCCAGAGAGAGCGCCAGAGAGAGCGCGAGAGACAGAGCGCGCGAGAGAGAACGAGAGACAGAGAGCGAGAGACAGAGAGCGAGAGACAGAGAGCGAGAGACAGAGAGCGAGCGAGAGAGAGAGAGCGAGAGAGAGAGAGCGCGAGAGAGAGCGAGAGAGAGAGAGCGCGAGAGAGAGCGAGAGAGAGCGAGAGAGAGCGAGAGAGAGCAAGAGAGAGCGAGAGAGAGAGAGCGAGAGAGAGAGAGCGAGAGAGAGTGAGAGAGAGAGAGTGAGAGAGAGTGAGAGAGAGTGAGAGAGAGAGTGAGAGAGAGTGAGAGAGAGAGCGAGAGTGAGCGAGAGCGAGTGAGAGAGAGCGAGAGAGAGAGCGAGAGAGAGCGAGTGAGAGTGAGTGAGAGAGTGAGAAAGAGAGTGAGAGAGAGAGAGAGTGAGAGAGAGAGAGAGAGAGAGAGTGTTGAGTAAGTGTCTGCCTCTCTGCCTGCCTCTGTCGGTGTCTCTGTGTCTCTGTGTGTCTTTGTGTCTGCCTCTGTCTGTCTGTGTCTGTGTGTGTGTGTGTCTTTGTGTCTGCCTCTCTCTGGCTCGGTGTGTATATGTGTGTGGTTGGTGTGTGTGTATGTCTCTGTACAAGAGCTCATTCTGTAGCTCAGGCTCACCTAGACTTGTTATGATCCTACTGTCTTAGCCTCCTGGGTACAAGGACTACAGTCACACACAACTATACCATGTGGCAACCATGTTCATGCTCTGGTTGTGTCTTGGCCAGGCAATCAGGAAGTCATTAGTCACTGAATGGGTGGATCATCTCTAACCTTGGACTCAAGTGTGAACTAACCCACTTGGCATGTGTGGGTCACGTTCCAAAGGAGCTCTGTGAGTATAGAGGACTCTGGTCGAATGACATTGTGCTCCCTTTTCACAGGAAGGGCTATGATTGAATGAACGGGGTTTCTCTGATGCCCCAGTGCCAGGGCTTTCCCATGAGGCCATGGGGTCTCAATCTGGAGTTATACATCTGCCACCCCCTACCCATCTCCTGGACACCTTGGACACAGCAGAGTCACAGAGTGAGAGGAAGCAAGACTCACATCAGCTTTTGCAGACCACACCTGGAGCTACTCAAGGCATCAGAGAGCCACCTCATGCTTTCTTCCGTCACCTTGTTTCCTGCGAGGCTGAGAAATTTTAGGCTGGTGGTTGAGAGGAGGAGTTTGGAGAGCATCACGTAACAATCTGCGGTCAGCGCACAGGAATCTAATCTACAGAGACAGACAGCCAGAGACATTTTTTCCTCATCCCTCCTGGGTAACCCAGGGTAACACACACTGGTGACTCAGCTCCTTAGGAACTGGAGGTGTGTGCACACAGATTTCCCTTGCTTTTTCCTTATAGCAGGCGGCTCACACCCTTAACCAGCACACCACACTCCCACGGATACAATAGGCTATTAATTGCTAAATGAAAGAAAATGATGGGCTTGTGAAACGCTCGGGAGTCAAGGAGCTTCCACCAAGACCGAGACCTGAGGTTGATGCCAGGACCCACACTGCGAAGGAGAGAACCCATTCCCACGAGTTGTCCTCTGACCACACACATGCTGTGGCGTGAGCACGTCCAGGCACGTGCACACACTCAAAACTGGTAAACAAATCCAATGCAGAAGAATGAAAGTGACAATTCCTCAGCATGGCTTGACAGATGGCCTGTGTCAGCTTTAATTTAGCAAGTTTGCTGTCTGATATAACCAAAGAATCTTCCTGAGGTTGCACACGATCTCATTTTTTCTTCTTGAGACAAGGCTTCACATATAGCCCGGGTTGACCTCAAAATCGCTAAGTAGCCAAGGATGATCCCCAGCTTCTGCTTCTCCTGACTCTATATCTTGAGGGAGGGGCTCTCAGGTTCAAGCACTGTGCTTGTTTTTGTGCAGTGATGGGAACTCAAAGCGACACTTCCTCTTTTCTAGACAAGCAACGTCACCAACTGAGACACATCTGCATATGCCCCCTACACCACTTTTTCTGAAGACAGGAGCTTTTGAGGCACACCAGGTTGGCCTCCAAAACTCACTATCCCCCCTGACTCAGCCATCATGGTGCTGGATTCCAGCTACATACTGCCCTCCCTGGCATGTAACACTGTTTTCAATAATTTTGTTTTTACATTTATTTACTTGGTGTGCACGTGGGGGTGAGGGGACAACTTCTAGGAGTCTCCTGGGTTCTGGGGACCAATTACACGTCACCAGGCTTAGGGGCAAATGAATTCATCCACGGGACCATCTCCCTGGTCCCGTATTTTTAATCTTTACAAACACTAAATTGTTTCACTGTGGTGTGGCATTTTTACCTTAAAATCTATGATCTGAAATACTCAATTTGCTGGTGTACTGCATATGCTTTTTCTCAGTAACTCTCCTGGCTCTCCCACTCCGTGATAATGTTGCCAGATCAGTGTGGCTGCCCTCCTCCAGGACGTCTCCTTCTCTCTAATCCTATTAATTCTTTTGCAACATTCTGGAAATAATTCTGATTTCTCAAGTAGAAGCCACACAGTGATAATCATCGACGGAGCTCACCTCAGAGTTTCCAGGGAACATTTTGGGTGTCTCAGCGCTATACAGGCTAATTTGATGTCATCTTCCTTCATGAGAATGTTCCCCAGATGGAGGTGTCTTAAGTTTTGATTGCTAATGAGGGTCATCCAGAGATACTGGAGACCAGATGTTATCTCTGCATTCTTAAACCTGCAGAAAAGGGAGAGAGGAGGGATACAGTCACATACTCATGTTGTGGGAGGTTTGTACACTGTGTGAAGACATATCACTGTGATTTGTTTAATAAAGACTTGAAAGGCAACTACTGAGTCAGGAGGTATAGGTGGGACTTTCGGGCAGAGAGAAATGAAGGAGATGAATCTAACAAAACTTGGGGGAAGTCAGACATATAAATGAAACAGGTAAAAAGCCAGGAGGCAAAAAAAAAGTTAATATAAATGAGCTAGTTGGACAAGTCTAAGCTAAGGTCAAGCTTTCATAATGAAGATGTCTCTGGGCTGTTCTTTGGGAACTGTCTGGCAGGGAACAGAAAAAGATTCATTGCACTCTTACCCTTCTAGCCCAGCGCTCAAAGCTGCTACCCATTTACATGGCATTTGTTTCTGAGACAGAATCTCACACTGTGCTGGCCTCTAACGCCTGTCTTCTCCCTCCACCCCTCAAGTGCTGGGATCACAGCCCTGTGCTAGCTCTCGTGACAGCTAATTATTTTTCTTTTTAGCGACAGGGTCTAATCTATTCCAAGCTGGTCTTAGACTCACTTTGTCGCCCAGTTTCCTAAGTGATTCTGTATGAAAGTTATTTTGGGGTTTCTATTGCTGTGGTAAAATACCAGGACGAAGAGCAATTTAGGAAGGAAAGGGCCTATTTTGTCTTACAGCTTACAGATCATCATCTAGGGAAGGCAGGGCAGGAAGTCAAGGTGTTCATTAGACAACACGAACCATGCCTGGCTCAAGTCCATGCCATGTGACTTTCCCCTGGGTTGGGAGGGCAAGTTAAGAAGTGGGCTTTTCGTCTAAAGTAAAGTTGACATTTATTCTCCTACCCCAGGTATACGTCATCTGTAGTAGCCTGATTTTTATTATTGTTAGAGTGTGGGGCTGCCCCCTCAAAGATAGCATTTATTACAGAAGGCCAGAGTCCACCCCTCGATGATTGGCCATGCCCCCACTGCCAGAGGACAGGTCACGCCCCCACTGCCAGAGGACAGGTCACACCCCCACTGCCAGAGGACAGGTCACGCCCCCACTGCCAGAGGACAGGTCACGCCCCCACTGCCAGAGGACAGGTCACGCCCCCACTGCCAGAGGACAGGTCAGCCTCCCCACACCTCTCACTGGGACAGAGATAAGAAGCCTTCAACTGAAGGTACCTGGGTCCTCCAGGCTTCTCATCACACCTGCTGTGCTGAAATCATGTGATGGGAAACTTCTCACTGCTCCTAAATGTTGTACAAAGTCAGACCTTTCCATTGGTCTGGGGGTTTGATAGAGATGTCTCAGGGGGATTTGCTGAGTGAAGTGGCACCTTCTCATTCAACACAACATCCCACCTGTGATGGCTTGAGCATTCTCTTTTTCACACTTTTTTTCTGAGACAGAGTTTCTCTGTGTAGCCCTGGCTCACCAGGAATTTGCTCTATAAACCAGGCTGGCCTCGAGCTCGCACCACATGTGTGCAGGAACCCAAGTAGATGGTGAGAAGGGCTTGGATCCCCTGGAGCTGGGGTTATAGGGATTATTGAGTCACTGTGTAGGTGCTGGGAACAGAGCCCGAGTCCTCTGAATGAAGACCCAGTGCTCTTAACCACTGAGAATCCCTCCCCGCCCCCCACCCTGTTCTCACTCTATTAGCTGCCCAGCTTCATTCTCAAAGGGAAACCCCTCCATTTTTAAGGCTCCGTCGTGTTTAGGTCTCTCTATACACTATCGTTTCTATAAATTCTGCTTTTCCAACTCAAGGCCCTTTTCCTCCGCCAGCATACTGCCTCCTCTGAAGGGAAATACACGGTCAAGTTTCTTTCCCAGACTATTACTTTTGACAGATTTAAAAATGAGCTGTTCACAGATTTGCACAATATCCACTAGCTCAAAGGTATTAGAGAGTGATTAGAGACAGCTATGTAAATCATACACCTTGACCTCTTGTCTCATATATTCTACTACCAGCCCCCAAAGTCCACTCATAGTCATACTTTACTAACCAACTCCTATGCATCCTTCAAAACTCACAGTAATTATGCCTGCCTCAAACCTATGCTCCTCTTTAAGGGGTCGTTTTAGCCAGTTCCCATCCTGTGTTTCTGGGAACTTGGCTCATGCATCTTATTTTTGTTTTGTTTTATGTTTTCTGATACAGGGTGTCTCTGTATTGTTTTGGAGGCTGTCCTGGGACTCACTTTGTAGACCTGGCTGGCCTTGAACTCAGATCCATCTGCCTCTGCCTCCCGATTGCTGGGATTAAAGGCGTGTGCCACCAATGCCCGGCAGTTCATGCATCTTTTATAGCATTTATCCTCTCAGGACACATCTCAGGGTTGAGAGAGGGACCCTATCTTGTCAAGAGGGACCATGGGAAGGATTGCTCATACCAGATTGTGCGGCACTTACGTCACACTCTGTACTTTACAGGCTGGATTTCTCAGTTTCATGCACAGTATCTTCATGGCCCATTCGTTCAGGATGCTACTGCCCAAGTCCAGATGCTTCAGTTTCGGGTGGGTGCCCAGGACAGAGCAGAAATCCTCCCAGAACTCTGTGATGTGGGGCTTACCATGTGTCCTGTGTCAGCAGGAAGGAAAAGGAGGGGATTGAACAGGAGGATTTCAACAGGAGTGACTGCCACAGCAAGGTCACCAGAGGGGACCAGACTGTAAGAGGGAGGGGGACAGCTGAGAAAACAAAACTGACTCAGTGGATGCTGCCTGGGCTCTACAGGACCAGCCCTACACCCCCCCCCCAATATTTCTACATTTCCTGCTGGTGTGCTAGCATGATCAGGAGCCTCAGCCCTCCCAATCATGTGCTGACTTAAATTCTAGCACACCTAGTGGCAAAATGGTGCCGCTGCATTGCTATGCCATTGGGAAAGATAGATTCTCATTTTTAAGTTATGTGTCTTTTTGCATTCTTTATGGATAGCAAAGGAACAGCAGGGTCATTGAAACAGACAGTGAAAGGTTGCATACGTGTGTGCAGACTCAAAAATAAAGGTCAAATACAAGCTACTGACATGGCTGAGTGGGTTAAAGGCTTGTACCACATGTGCTTGGTGATGCGAGTTCAAACCCCAAAACCCATGTAGTGGAAGGAGCAGCTCCATTACTGCTGGACGTGCTCCTACTAAGCTCCACACATGTGTGTGCATATGTGTGTGCACAGACGGACACACACAGACAGGCAGACAGGCAGGCAGGCGGACACACACAGACAGGCAGACAGGCAGGCAGGCGGACACACACAGGCAGGCAGGCAGGCAGGCAGGCGGACACACACAGACAGGCAGGCAGGCAGGCAGGCGGACACACACAGACAGGCAGACAGGCAGGCGGACACACACAGGCAGGCAGGCAGGCAGGCAGGCAGGCAGGCGGACACACACAGACAGGCAGACAGGCAGGCAGGTGGACACACACAGACAGGCAGACAGGCAGGCGGACACACACAGGCAGGCAGGCAGGCAGGCGGACACACACAGGCAGGCAGGCAGGCAGGCAGGCAGGCAGGCAGGCAGGCAGGCGGACACAGGCCCAGACAGGCAGGCAGGCAGGCGGACACAGGCCCAGACAGGCAGGCAGGCAGAAGGACACAGGCCCAGACAGGCAGGCAGGCAGAAGGACACAGGCCCAGACAGGCAGGCAGGCAGACGGACGCAGGCCCAGACAGGCAGGCAGACGGACGCAGGCCCAGACAGGCAGACAGACCCCGCCCAGACAGGAAGACAGACCCCCCCCAGCCAGACGTCAGACCCCCCCCCAGCCAGACGTCAGACCCCCCCCAGCCAGACGTCAGACCCCCCCAGCCAGACGTCAGACCCCCCCCAGCCAGACGTCAGACCCCCACACACAGACCCCCGCACAGACAGATGCACAGACCCACACACAGACAGACAGGCAAATGTACAGGCGCACACACACACACACAGACCCACAGACAGGCAGATGCACAGGCACACACACACACACAGACCCACAGACAGACGCACGTGCACACACACACACACACACAGGCACGCAATACACACACTAATAAATGTAACTCAATAAAAATAATTCCCCAGCCGTGGAGAGTGGTGGAGTCTCTAGAGACAGGGAAGAGATCTATCTCCAAAGTGAGCTATATCCCCCAGCATGTGACTCAGTGTTTTAAATGGGATTACCCAGGAGCTCATGATGAACTAGACTTGGATCAGGTCCTGCTAGTAAATGAATTATCGTTTAGGAGCCATCTGGTAACCTGAATACTTCTCAACACCATATCCAAGCCCAATAACGTAGAAAATTTGCTAACTGGCTTAGGATAAAGATCATGTGATTCTGGGCGTTGGTGGCACATGCCTTTAATCCCAGCTCTTGGGAGGCAGAGGCAGGAGGATCTCTGAGTTTGAGACCAGCCTGGTCTACAGGAGCTAGTTCCAGGACTGCCTCCAAAACAATAAAGAGAAACCCTGTCTCAAAAAAACAAAAACAAAAAAAAACAAAAAAAAAAAAGAAAAAGAAAAGATCATGTGACACTCACGGCTGGTGAATAACAGGACACAGCTCAATATTCATTTCCATCGAGAGGACACCTCTGACATCCACCCAGAGCGTCTCCAAGCTCTGACAATGCTGGAGACAATAGGAAGATACTGCTAAGTCCATCCTCTGGTTAACCACAATCCCCACTCCTTGGAAGCTTGTCAGGGATGAGCAAACAAATTCTTCATCCTGAGACTCAAAGAGATAGTGGAAGGCATCCAGGACATCCGTCAGGTTGGTTGCATTGGCCTGCTGACCTAGCACAGAGACCCAATGTTGGAGCACCTTCTTTACATCAGGGGACAGGGAACATCCAAGCAGAACCTCCAGGGTCCTCATTGTGTCCTTGTTCATGAGGCCAAATAAGAAACGCTTCATCCCATCGAGGTGAGTGTTAAAGTGGGTTTGCTTCAGCTCTGTTAAGCTCCTCAGATTTTTAGTGAGGCAAAAGTACTGGTTGCTTTTCCCCAGCCCTTCCAAAACATAATGTAAGGCAGCACAGAAATCCTGCAGGCTGACATGAAAGAAAACATAGCACCGTTTGGCGCTGCGGTCAACCTGCAGGATGTTCATGCGAAAGAGGGCCGAGATCTCTGACTCCTTCAGGCCGTAGGTCTGCAGGTCATCATCGTAGAACACTGATTTCTTGCTCCACACTCCCTCCGCCGCCATCCTGCACAAACCCATCAGGGTGCCTCGCTCTTCCTGACTGAGGCAGCTCTGGGAAGGCTCTCTCGGGGTGAGCTGGTGGAACACCAAGGTGGCATACAGACTAGTGAGAGTCTGGAAGACTGGGGTGCGTCTCTCTCCCAGCTCCTCCTGTATCTTCAAGGCCTCACAGACCAGCAAGCACACGGAGGGGACCTGACACTGCTCAGCGAGCCAGTGATTACCTATCACGGAACAGATGACTTGGTTTTTGCGATGGTCATCAATGATGTTCTTGAGGACTACCTGCTTCCTCATTGTCAAAGACAGCCCTTCAACCAGTATGTAGAGCGGGGACACCAGCATGGACTTGAGCTTTTGTAAGCCGGCATCTGTGGTGGTAATCAGGATAAAAGACTTGGGTAGGAGGGCCTTCTTCAGGAGGCTGTAAAGCACGATGTATATGGGCCGTTCATCCTCCCAGTCTTTACAGAGCCTCATGTCCTCCTGTAGGAGGGCAGATTCCAGACTATCAAAATCATCCATGACAAACAAGAGCCTTTCCGGTTTGGACATGATCTCTGTCACTGGAGCCTGGGAACCTGGCCACTCCCTTGAAATCAAATGTGCCAAGCTACTCTTCTCTGTCCATTTTCTGTCTTTAGAAGAGAATAAGAAGGCATAGGAGATGTCTCGGCAGAGTTTATTCTGTGCCCAGTCCAGGATGATACTTCTGGCCAAAGCCGACTTTCCAACTCCTGGCTTTCCATGTAAGACAACAGTGTGAGGCTGGACGGTTTTCTGGTAAGGCTTAAAAGCCTCAGACAACACTCGCATCTCAGGGTCATCAGAACGGACTTTCACACTCTTGTTGAGTTTCTTTGTAATGTGTGCCTTATAGACTTGCAGGTTACCTAGATGGTAGGAAGTCAGGTAAGACAGCCAAAGAAAAACAAAATTACAACAAAATCATATATTTTGTTGAAACTGACATGCATATCTACAAGATGAGTCTAACAATGGCTTAAAACATCTCGGAATAGAGGGGAGGAATCTAAATTGACTTACAGTAGCAAGGGAAGTTTAAGTGGATGAATACACTCCTTGCCTTTAATTGTTCACCACTGTGTGTACAATGAATCAAATGACTCTTTTTGCCACAAGTCAGATGGCTATGTACATATACTTGCTACTTCAGTACCTGTTTTAGAGAATAGACTCTCTTATTTGCTATGTAGCCTACAGTGACTTTGAACTTCTGGTTCTCCTGTCTCTATGTCCCAACTGCTGGGATTACTGGTGTGTACCATCATGTCCCGGTCTCATCTGGTGCTGGGGAGTGAACCCCATGGCTCTATGCACCCTGCACAAACATTCTACCAACTTGGTTACATCCATAGTCTGGCTTATTCTGAGAAATGTATTTCTAATGAGATGCAAGTAGGCTTGGCCATCTCTGGCCAGTGAGTTGTAGATATTTGCCTTTCTCCCCATTCCATCATGCCATTACTATGATTACAAGTACAATGCCATTATACTCAACTTTCTTTTTCTGAGACAGGGTTTCTCTGTGCAGCCATGGCTGTCCTTGATGCATTTAATACATCAGGCTGTCCTCCAACCCAGATCTGCCCAACTCTGACGCCTGTGGGCTGGGATTACAGGCATGCACCACCACGGCCTGGATCATACCCAACTTTTAATGTGGGTTCAGGGGTTGGGCATGTAAGGCAAGCATCCCACCTTGAGAGCCTAATCTCTATTTGCCAAATTGGACCTGTGTAATATCCTCATGTTGAACATTAGCCTTGCTAATGGATTTAGGTTTTCCCGCTGAGTCAAAAGTCCCAGGAATCCAGCCTGCAGTTGAATCCAAGTCTTCCTGTCTTTTTTCTCATCTATAGATTTAATTATTGTACTCGGGCTTCAGACTGGTCTCTGATGCCTCCCAAGTAGTCATTGCTTGTGTGTCTAACTTGTAACCCACAGAGCACCCAGATCTCATGAGTATCAGAAACTTCTTTCAAGGCACTTGCTTTATGGCACTGATCAGAGTTCAGAGTCCTCAGTGTCATGTACGTGTGCACACATATAAACAGTTTGTGAACACACATGCCGATGCAACTGCATACACACACATACACACACAGGCTTGGATGCTCACAGACCCATGCATACACACACACACACACACACACACACACACACACACACAGAGACAGAGACAGAGACACAGAGAGACCCCACAAACTATTACCTTCAAACAAAAGTTGCAGTCTATTTCTCTAAGATATATCTAAGCAAAAGCTCCCATTTTCAAGCTTACTGTTGGGCAGAGGTTGATCACATTCTACAAGTAAGTCTAATTTTGGCTATAAATTCTCTATGGAAGAGTTTGTTCATGGATAAAATGGACACATTAATTCCTTTAACAGGGTTGCTGAGTAGATGCTATGGCAACTATACTGTGTGTACCACAATGCCTAGCCCACAGTGAACTGCCTGGAATGTGAAAAGCAGAGATTCTGATTTAGAGGGTACTGGGAAGTATGAGTTTTCCAATATGGGTTGAAAAATGAGGGTATAATACACACAGGGCATGAATGGAAATTTCTGTCCTGCGCAGTCCCGTAGCTGTTTAGTCCCAAATAAACATACAGAGGCTCATATTAATTATAAACTGTTTGGCCAATGGCTGAGGCTACTTATTGGCTAGCTCTCTCATTTATTAACCCATTTCTATTAATCTGTGTACCCACAGAAGGTGTTGGCTTACCAGTGATGCCTGGGCCTCTTGCTTCCTCGGCAGTTACCTGGTGTCTCTGACTGCCCCTCCAACTACCATTTCTTTATTCCTGTTTGGGATTCCTGCCTGGCTAAATAATGCCTGTCCAAAGGTTAACACAGCTTTTTTCATCAAATAATAAGATATTCACAGCATACGAATCATAGGGCCAATATGATTATATTTGCCATTGGTACAGGCCCAAGCTGCAGTGAACCTAGAGCAGTATTTCTCAACCTTCTTAATGCTGGGACCCTTTAATACAGTTCCTCATGTTGTTGCGACACCCAAGCGTAATGTTTTTGTTGTTACTTCATAACTAATTTTGCTACTGTTATGAATCCTAATGTAAATACCTGATAATATCTGATATGTGACCTCTTTGCAAGAGTCATTTGACCCCCATGTGGGTCATGACCCACAGGCTGAGAACCACTGGTCTAGAGTTATGACTCACAGCACTGCCTCCAATCAGGCTGTTGAAGAAAGTGGGATGCACTTTGACACATTTCCTGAGTTGGTCAGACCCTCCTTTCTATCTATCGTACAGTGAAACTCTCTCACATAGGTACCATCAATGCTTTCAGTTGCTGTCTCAGTGGACACCATGTGTTTACGGCTTGATCACTAACCACCGACAAAGAGAAAAGAGCAAAAGAAAAATCTCACCAAGAGGAGGATTGAAGAATGCTGTGCAATCATGAAACACACACACACACACACACACACACACACACACACACACACACACACACACACACACACACACGAGAGAGAGAGAGAGAGAGAGAGAGATCTGAAAATTTTCTGGGTATGAGGTATGAGTGTCTGGCCTGCATGTATAAATGTACCACCATCCATGTCTGGTGTGTGCAAAGGTCAGGGGAGGCCTCAAATTACTGGTACAGGATTACATATGGCTACAAGCTACCAATGAGTGATGGGATTGAATCCTGGGCTGTTACATTAGCAGCCAGTATTCTTAACCCCTGAGCCATCTATCTCTCCAGATCTACAGTAGAATACATTTATTCATTTAATTATTTTGAGACATGGTCCCTACTATGCAGTCTTGACTGTCATGGGACTCACAGAGATCCTCCTTCCTCTGCATTCCTAGTGCTGGGATTAAAAATGTGCACCACCACATGGACCATTTTTAAAAGATTATTGTGTAAACACTGTTCTGTATACATATATTTCTACATTGACAGTACAGATGGTTTGCAATCCACATGGTTGCTTGGAATTGAACTCAGGACCCCTGGGGAGAGCAGTTAGTGCTGTTAACCTCTGAGTCATCTCTTCATCTCTCACCCAAGCACCCCTGATCAAATAGTTTGGGTAGACAACATTAAAAGCAGGAGGACGACTAGGTGTATGAAAGTAATATAGTGAAACCCATTATGTATAATCCATCATAATAAAACCACTGAAGTAAAAATACAACAGAAATCTACTTTATATGCTAATTCAAAACCTAATAAAACTTCTATTTTTGCTTAGCATAGATTGTTATTCTAAACTCTTTAGAACATTTCAAATAAACTTGTTCCTATACTTAACCTTGCAGGAATTATGGGTTATTTTGAACTTTTCATAAGTGACCACCCAACATATATTGCCTTGAGCCACATGGCTCTGTCTATGAATCTCACCACTAGGACTCACAAAAGAAGGGTTCAGGGGACAGGCCCATCACAACAGGACCCTACCTCCTATCTGAATGCCATATGCTACTCACTCAGGCTACTTATATTTTGACACAAATTATCATTTTCTTCACCTTTTGCACATGTCCCTGCTGCTGCCTCTTGTTCCTCAGTTTGCAAGGCTTCTGTAAAAGAGTGAGCAAATCCATCCTACATGATTATGTTTGTTGTTCAAAACAGATATCATCTATGTCAGCGTCCCCACCCGCGCATAGGACACAGAGGAAGAGGGGCTGAAAGAAAGAGCTGGAAGATGGGGAGGGTTGCTGAGAAATGCTGTGCTCTGCACATGTGTGAAATCACTGTTATGCACATGAAGTCACACAGCTCTGGTCACCTATACGAGACAGAGACAGTCAAAATCCCATCACATATCAGATAGGGGCTCTGGATGTTCTCTTGATAGCTGAGGAAGTATCAGCACTTGAAATCTCTTATGTTAGGGGGTGTGTCCTCTGTTTGGTTGTCCATGTGTGTGTACATGTGTGTATTTAACCATGTACTCAAGTGCTTTCATGAGAACCTGATGCTGACTTTTGGTGTCTTTTTATATCACTCTCATTCCTTCTTGTAAAAGATGTATCATCTGTCTGTCTGTCTGTCTACCTGCCCATGCATACTTTGCTCCACCCATCATTATTGCTCCACCCATCATCATCTGTTTCTCTGTGTATCCATGGCTTTCCTCACTCTGTAGACCAGACTGGCCTCAAACTCAAAGATGTGACTGCCTCTGCCTGCCAAGTGGTGAGATTAAAGGCGTGCACCACCACCATCTGGTGAAGATGTAGTCATTTATATTTGATGACTATTTTCCTGAATGTTATGCCCGTGTACTTTGTGCATGCTATGCTTGCTGAGGCCTCTTGAGAGCAGATCCCATGGAATTGGAGTTACAGATGGTTGTGTGCTGATATGGGGGTGCTGAGTACTGAATCTGGGTCATATGTAAATGTGCCCAGTGCTCTGAAATGCTGAGTCTTGTCTCTAGTACTTAATCATGTTTTTGAGCTTCTCCCTTTAAATATGAATCTTAGCAATATGGCTGGCCAGCAAGCACCATGGACCCCTCCTGTGTCTGCGTTTTCAGTGCTGGGATTAGAGGAACATACCCCTTTACTTGGCCTTTTAATATGAGTTCTGGGAACTGAACTCAGGTCCTTGTGCAGCTAACATATTACTGACTGAGCAATTTACCTCAAACTAAAACTTATTAATATAGCTAGCTATATAAGCAAACACAGATCCATGCAACTAAATGCAGTTCATATCAAGAGCCCAGCTGACTTCCAGGAAATTGTCAAAATGATTGTAAAGCTCATGATATAATCAATGGGTCCAAGAAACATCCAATTTTTGCAGATTAATGTAGAATGTCATATACACTGATTCAGTGGGAATAGTGGCATAAGGACAGGCACATAGGGTAGTTACCTAGAACTGAGGAACATCAAGTTACCCTCCCTCACCTCTATCTAGACAATTTAGTAGAATTGTGTGTGCCCATGTGTGTGATATGTGGTTAAGTGCAGGTTAGAGGTGTTCTTGCCCATAGGGATGAAAGAGGTCAACATTAGATTTCTTTCCCTCCTGAAACACTATCCTTTTAAAAAGAGGTGTTTAATTGCTTATTACATGCCAGCATGGGTGTCTGTGAGCACTAGTAACTGCAGAGAATAGAGGTATTGGATATCTTGGAGCTTGAGTTACCAATGAGTATGTGTCATCTGATGTGGGGCTGAGAACCAAACTCCAATCTCACGTGCACATACATAGCAATTCAAAGGTCTAGTTGGGATGTGGTAGCACACACCTTTTACACCAGCACTAAAGAGGCATATGCAGGTGGAACTCTGGGAGTTCGAAGCTAGCCTGGTTTACAGTGTGAGTTCCAGGACAGACTGGATTACACAGAGAAACCTTGTTTTGAAAAAACAAACAAAAACAAAAATAGTTCAGGGTCCTAATTCTTTAGGTAATACTTGAAACCATGTGGCTTTAAGTGTATTCATGTTTACACGCTGCCCTCTATGCAAACCTGTGGCCTGTCCCTCATCTGGCCCTTGGTCACTCTGGATTGGTTCTCTGTCTTCTTCTGGGTTACTCATTGAGTCTTCTGCAACAGAGAGAAAGAGAGAGCACTGTTAATAAGTCACAGTCTAAGTGCTCCACCTGGGGATGAGAATGCTCCAATGTCCAAACTACTGTGGGGAATTAGATGAAGTCTTGACCCAGTTTATGCTTGGAAGAATCTCCTAGGCCATCATGAGCACCAAGTGAATTCATTCATGTGGCCAGCAGGAGGGCTGCATGGAGGCATCCCAGACTATTTTGAGACAGTATCTTACACTATATAATTCAAGCTGGCCTAGAAATTGCTATAAAGACCAACCTGGCCTTAGTCTCAGGTCTGCTGGTCTCTACCTCCCAATCCAAGCATTGGGGTTGAAGGTGTACACTACCAAACCTGGCTCATCACTAGACTCTTGAATGGTTCTTGCTACTCAAACATGACACCTGCTTCTTGCCTCAAACACAACAAAAATGAATTAATGATCCACTTAATTGTCGCAGAGCAAGACTGAGGTTTGTGTAGCCTTAAAACAACTACTTACGTAACCCAGAATCAACCTAGATGCCGTTCAAGTGAAGTATGGATAAAGTAAATGTGGTATATTTACACAATGGAGTACTACTCAGCAGCAAAAAACAACTACTTAGAACTGGAGAGATGGTTTAGAAGTAAGAGCACTGACAGCTCTTCCAGAGGACACAGGTTCAATTCCCAGTATCCATATAGCCACAAACAACTGTCTGTAGCTCCAAGATCTAACACCCTCATACAGACATAGGTGTAGGCAAAGCACCAATGGACATAAAAACAATTATTTAAAAAAATCAACTATGTAGTATCTGAAATGCATGACACAGGAGATTCAAGATCAACAGGGTGCCTTTTTAAATAGGATTATGTCATCATAAAGAAAAAGAAACATTTGAATTACTTGACTTGATTGCAGCCAGAATCTCATGAACACAGTATCATTACAGATTGAGCCAGAGACTCATGCATGCTATGTCCATACAACTAGTAGGGATTGATGCCAGGACCTCATGAATATACACAACAACCTCCAGAAGCCAATGCATCATGCATGCCATATACACACTACCAGAGACTGATGCCAGGTTCTCTGTCATGCTAACTACACAGCAATAAAACAGACTGATTCAGAGCCTCAAGATTCTTTCTATACACAACCACTAGGGATCATCAAATGCCTAGGAAGCACAGGGAGCAGAAAGAACATGGAAAACTAGAGCAAACTACCAGGTAAAGAGCAGATGTCTCTTCCAGACCCCACCCTCCAGTGTCCCCAGCTTCAGGTGAGCTTGGCTCCCCCTGAGACCACCCACCCACCACCCATCACCCACTCCTTCAATCTTCTGGGTGCCTGCTCCTGGCATCCATAGGACCTGCTCACACAGGAAAGGCATCAGTCCTTCCAGACTTCACCATCTGGTATACCCAGCTTTAGCGTTAGGATAGAAGGAGACCAGTGCAGACAGAAGACCCCACCTGCACCCACTGGAAGAAGAGATGGGGAGAAAACAGTAAGAGCTCATTCAGCAATAGAAAGACCAACATGACTCCACCAGTATCTAGAGACCCAATGCCAGCAAGACCTGAAAAGCACAATATGGATGAAGCAGAAGAGACAGACCTTTAAAATTATTTCATGAAAATGATAGATACCCTCAAAGAGGAAATGAGGAAATCCCTTAAAGAAATAGAAGAAACAAAAAATACATGAAATGGAGGAAAAGACAAGCCAAAATTTCAAGAAACAAACAAATCTAAAGTGTACCAAAAAAAAAAAACCAACCAAATGAATGAAACAACTCAAACAGCTGAAGGATTGAAAGCTGAAATAGAAACAAAGAAAACATAGGAGGGGATGCAGGAAATAGAAAAGATGGGTAAACAATCAGGAACTACAGATGCTAGTATCACCAATAGAATACAAGAGATAGAAGAGAGAATCTCATGTGTTGAAGATTCAGAGAATATACAGTCATCAACCAAAGAAAATCTCAAAACCAACAAATCCCTAACACAAAATATCCAGGAAATATGCGACACCGTGAAGAAGCAAAACCTGAGAATAGGTATAGAAGAAGGCGAAGAAATACAGCTCAAATTTACACAAAACATTTGACAAAAATCATAGAAGAAAACTACCCTAACCTAAAGAAGGATATGCCTGTGAAAATACAAGAATCCCACAGAACACCAAAAAGGCTGGACCAGAAAAAGTCACCTTGCAATATAATAATCAAAACATCAAACCTACAGAAAAAATTAATATCAGCTAAAGAAAAAGGCCAAGTAACATATAAAGGCAGGCCTATCTGAATTATAGCAGACTTCTCAATGGAAACGATGAAAGCCAGAAGATCCTGGACAGATGTCCTACAAATGCTAAGGGAACAAGGATGCCAGCCCAGACTTCTATATCCAGCAAAGCTTTCAATTACCACACATGGAGAAATTAGAATATTCCATGAAAAAGCCAGATTTAAACAATATGTATCCATGAATCCAGTTCTGCAGAAAGTGATGGAAGGAAAACCTGGACCCAATGAAGATAACTACACTCACAAAGACATAGGCAGTAGATAATCCCACTTTACCAAACACCAAAGAAAAAGGGAGGAGAACCTACACAGAATAACACCACTACCAATAAATCAAGCACAAACAAGGATCACCAATCAATGGTCATTAATATCCCTCACCTCAATGGTCTCAACTTGCCTATAAAAAGAAACAGACTAGCAGAATGGATACAAAGGCATAACCCATCCTTCTGCTGCCTACAAGAAACACATTTCAACCTCAAAGACAGATGTTACCTCAGAGTAACCGGTTGGGAAAAGATTTTCCAATGAAAGGGACCCAAGAAACAAGCGAGTATACCAACCCTAATATCTACCAAATTAGACTACAAATTAAAAATCAAAAAAGATGATCAGCCCTTCCAGGACCCAAACTCTGGCGATAACAGCCAGCCAGGTAAACTTGGGTCTCCGGGGGAACACTCCCCATCCCCATCCTGTGCCCTACACCCATCCGCTGGATCTTCTGGGACTGCTCCTGGCATCCAGACTACCTGCCCACCCAGGAAAGACATCAGCCCTTCCAAGTCCCAACCTCCAGTGACCCCAGCCAGGCCTCAAACTCCGGCGATCCCAGCTTCAGCTTCAGGAAGGAAGAAAGACCAGTGGAAACAGAAAGACCCCCCCCACAAACACCCACTGGAATAAGAGATCGGAAGAAGACAGAATAAGCCCACTCAACAATTAAAAGACCAACATGACTCCACCAGAATCTAGGGAACCAATGCCAACAAGACCTGAAAAGCACTACATAGATGAAGCAGAGGAGACAGACCTAAAAATCATTTTATGAAGATGATAGAGACCCTCAAAGAAGAAACGAGGAAATCCCTTAAAGAAATAGAGGAAAAAACAAAAAAATCCATGTAATGGGGGAGAAAATTCGAGAAATAAGCAAATCTCTCAAAGAATCTAAAGAGTACCAAGAAAAAAAAACCAAACATATGAAGGAAACAACTCAAACAGTTGAAGGATTGAAAGCTGAAACAATAAAGGAAACACAGAATGAGGGGATGCTGGAAATGGAAAAGCTGGGTAAAGGATCAGGAACTACAGATGCAAGTATCACCAATAGAATACAAGAGATAGAAGAGAGAATCTCAGGTGTTGAAGACTCAGAGGATATACAGTCATCAACCAAAGAAAACCTCAAAACCAACAAATCCCTAACACAAAATATCCAGGAAATATGTGACACCATGAAGAAGCAAAACCTGAGAATAGGTATAGAAGAAGGCGAAGAAATACAGCTCAAAGGCACAGAAAACATTCAACAAAATCATAGAAGAAAACTTCCTTAACCTAAAGAAGGATATGCCTATGAAAATACAAGAATCTTATTGAACACCAGATAGGCTGGAACAGAAAAAGAAGTCACATCACCATATAATAATCAAAACATCAAACCTACAGAATAAGAGAAAATATTAAGAGCCGCTATAGAAAAAGGCCAAGTAACATATAAAGGCAGACCTATCTGAATTACACCTGACTTCTCAATGGAAATGATGAAAGCCAGAAGATCCTGGACAGATGTCCTACAAATGCTAAGGGAACAAGGATGCCAGCACAGACGACTATATCCAGCAAAGCTTTCAATTACCATAGATGGAGAAAAAAATATTCCATGACAAAGCCAGATTTAAACAACACATATCCATGAATCCAGCTCTACAGAAAGTGCTAGAAGGAAAACTTGGATCCAAGGAAGATAACTACACTCACAAAGACACAGGCAATATATAACACCACTTTACAAAACATTAAAAGAAAAAGGGAGGAGAAACTACACAAAATAACTTTACTACAAATAAATGAAGCACAAACAAGTATCAATCAATGGTCATTGATATCCCTCAATGTCAACAACCTCAACTTGCCTATAAAATTACAGACTAGCAGAATGGATATGAAGACAGAACCCATCCTTCTGCTGCATACAAGAAACACATCTCAACTTCAAAGACAGACAGTATCTCAAAGTAAAGGGTTTGGAAAAGATTTTCCAATGAAACAGACCCAAGAAACAAGCAGGTGTAGCAATTCTAATATCTAACAAACTAGATTTCAAATTAAAATCAAAAGAGATGAAGGGCATTTCATATTCAAAGGAAAAGTCCATCAAGATGAAGTATCAATTTTAAACATCTATGCCCCAAATACAAAGGCACCTACATTTGTGAAAGAAACATTACTAAAGCTCAAACTGCACATAAAATCTCACACACTAATAGGAGACTTCAACACTCCACTCTCACCACTAGACAGGACCTCCAGACAGAAACTTAAACAGAATAGAAGTTATGATCCAACTGTGTTTAACAGACATCTATAGAACATTCCACCCAAACACAAAGGGATATACCTTCTTTTTGGAACCACCTGAAACCTTCTCTAAAATTGACCACACAATAGGGAACATAGCAAATCTCCACA